GGAGCACTGGGTGTTATGCACAAACAATGAATCATGAACACTTCATCTAAAACTAATGATGTAATGTATGGGGATTAACATAAGAATAAAAAAAATTAATAAAAAAAAAAAGATTAGTTGTGTGAAATGCAGTTAAGTCCTTGCTAAAAAGACTTTTTCAGTCTATACTGTCAGAAAAATTACAAAAGGTAATTCAATGTACACCGTATACAATCCTTGGAAAACTGAACAGGGGCCCAGATAAGAACCCAACTTGAGAACAGAGGCTGTGGGAGGAGAAGAACCAATTGTAGTACAGTAATAACATTAATGTGTGGATTGTAATATCAGGTGATTTTCTACATTTCAACAAATGTCCATTTCCCTGAATGAATTTTATTTTGCAGGTTTCCTCCTCTGGATACAATTTTCCTATGTTTATTTAACATACACGTAGTAAGCACACCTACAAGTGCTAGTCAATGTTAAGGCTGTGTAGATTTTTTTTAAACTTTTATTTAAATTCCAGTTAGTTAACATACAGTGTATTAGTTTCAGGTGTACAATATAGTGATTCAACAATCCCATATATCACCCAGCGCTCATCACAACTGCACTCCTTAATCCCCATTACTGGGTAACCCATCCCCCCAACCACCTCCCTTCTGGTAACCATCAGTTTGTTCTCTATATTTAAGAGTCTGTTTCTTGGTTTGCCTCTATTTTTCTCCCTTTGTTCATGTTTTGTTTCTTAAATTCCACATGAGTGAAATCATATGGTATTTATCTTTGATTGACTTACTTCACTCAGCATAATCTCTAGCTCCACCTATGTTGTTGCAAATGGCAAGATTTCATTCTTTTTTATGCCTGAATAATATTCCATTGTATATATACACATCTTCTTTATCCATTCATCAACTGATGGAAACTTGGGCTATTTCCGTGGTTTGGCTATTGTAAGTAATGCTGCTATAAACACTAGGGTGCATGTATCCCTTTGTATTAGTATTTTTGTATTCTTTGGGTAAATACCTAGTAGTACAATTGCTAGATCCTAGGGTATTCTATTTTTAACTTTTTGAGGAACTTCCATACTGTTTTCCACGGTGGCTGCACCAGTTTACATTCCCAACAGTGCAGGAGGGTTCCCCTTTCTCCACATCTTGCCAAAACCTGTTGTTTCTTGTCTTGTTGAGTTTAGCCATTCTGACAGGCATGAGGTGCTATCTCATTGTAATTTTGATTTGCATTTCCCTGACAGTAAGTGATGTTCAGCATCTTGTCATGTGTTTCTTGGCCACCTGGATTTCTTCTGGGAGAAATGTCTATTTATGTCTTGTGCCTATTTTTTAATTGGATTATTCATTTTTTGAGTGTTGAGTTTTATAAGTTCTTTATATATTCTGGACATTAACTCCTTATCGAATATGTCATTGGCAAATACCTTCTCCCACTGAGTAGGTTGCCTTTTAGTTTTGATTGTTTCCTTTGCTATACAGAAGCTTTTTATTTTGATGTAGCCTCAATAATTTATTTTTGCTTTTGTTTCTCTTACCTCAGGAGACCGATCTAGAAAAAAGTTGCTACAGCTGATGTCAGAGAAATTACTGCCTGTGCTTTCTTCAAGGACTTTTATGGTTTCAGGTCTCACACTTAGGTCTTTATCCATTTTGAATTTATTTTTGTGTATGGTGTAAGAAAGTAGTCCAATTTCACTCTTTTGCATGTGGCTGTCCGGTTTTTCCAACACCATTTGTTGAAAAAAAACTCTTTTTCCCATTGGATATTCTTTCCTGCTTTGTCATAGATTAACTGGCCACATAATTATGGGTTCATTTCTGGGTTTTCTACTCTGTTTTATTGACCTATGTGTCTGTTTTTGTGCCAGTACCATACAATTTTGTTTACTAGTTTTGTAATATAACTTGAAGTCCAGAATTATGATGCCTCCAGCTTTGAGGGCTGTATAGATTTAGCAGCAAAGTCCCAGCCCTCATGGAGCTTACATTCTAGTGGGTATCAATTCTGGTATACCCATCATTATACTTGTGTTAAAGGCCAGCCCAAACTCTTTTCCTAAGTACTACTACCTCCTAAGTGATTCTGAACAAAGACTTACCACACCACTTACAAGTTTTCTCAACTGTGTGATCTTGTGAAAACTGAGATATGTTCAATTATTGCTTAAATACCAACTAAACTAACACAAGTATTTTCTCTCTTATGAGACTCAATAATGATAAGAATTCAGGGTTTTATTAAGCATCATTTTGGAGAACTTCTTTCTGATGATTCTTTGATGGTCTTACCACTCTTCTTACTTTCATAAAATGTATTGCCACCATGAGTTTTGCGATGATGTGAAAGTTTTGATCGCCAACGGAAGCTCTGACCACACGTTTCACACTTGTAAGGTGTCTCCCCTGTGTGAACCCGCTGATGAGACTGCAGCTGCGAAGAGTGGCGGAAGACCTTGCCACACACATCACATTTGTATGGTTTCTCTTCACTGTGAACACTCTGATGAACCTTCAGACTTGAGGCCTGACTGAAGTGCTTACCACACTCCCCACACTTGTAGGGTTTCTCTCCTGTGTGGACCCTCTGATGCATGTCAAGATTCAAGCTCCATTTGAAGCCCTTCCCACACTCCTCACATTTGTACGGCTTTTCTCCCGTGTGGACTTTCTGATGGGCTTGAAGGTGTGAACTGCGACCAAAACTCTTCCCACACTCCTCACATTTGAATGGTTTCTCTCCACTATGGATTCTCTGATGGGCCAGAAGATTTGCGGCCTGCCTGAATACTTTCCCACACTCCTCACAATTAAATGGTTTCTCTCCTGTGTGGATTCTGCAGTGAATTTTGAGATCTGCTCTACGATTGAATCCCTTCCCACACTCTTCACATTTGTGTGGTTTCTCACCAGTATGGATCAGCTGGTGAATCTGAAGTCGGGAACTCTGATTGAAGCCCTGCCCGCACTCCTCACACTTGTAAGGTTTCTCTATGCTGTGGGTCTTCAGATGGGATTGAAGATATGCTCTCTGACTGAAGTCCTTCCCACATACCTCACATTTATAGGGTCTCTCTCCCGTGTGGACTACCAGATGAACTTGATAACGGGTTTTTGTACCGAAGTTCTTCCCACATTCATCGCATTTGTATGGTTTCTCTCCTGTGTGGACTCTCTGATGTGCCTGAAGATTTGAACTCATAGTAAAACCTTTACCACACACTTTGCATACATACGGTTTCTCTCCAGTATGGATTCTCTGATGGGCCCGAAAATGTGAAGGCTGAATGAAGCCCTTCCCACACTCCTCACATTTATAAGGTTTCTCTCGTGTGTGGCCCTTCTGATGGATATGAAGATTTGAGCTACAAAAGAAACACTTCCCACACTCCTCACATTTGTACAGTTTTTCTCCCGTATGGACCATACAATGGCTATTAAGTGATGATCTACGTCGGAAACTCTTACCACATTTATCACATTTGAAGGGTTTCTCCCCAGTGTGGATTCTCTGATGTTCCTGAAGATGTGAAGCATGAATGAAGGCCCTTCCACATTGGTCACAATTATAAGGTTTCTCTTCCATGTGCAATTTATAATGAACATTAAGTGCTGATCTACGACAGAAGCCATTCCCACACTTCTCACATTTGAATGGCTTCTCCACAGTGTGAACTTTCAGATGAGTTTGCAGACATGAGCTCTGGCTGAATTCCTTACCACACTCATCACACTTGTAGCGTTTCTCTCCCAGATGAACTCTCTGATGAATATGAAGTGCTGAGCTGTAACAGAAGCTTTTTCCACACTCACGACAGGTATGAGACTTCACTCCTGAGTGTGTTTGTTGATGAAAATCAAGGCTGGAGACATCACTGAAATATTTCTTAAATTCACTAGACTGATTAGGTTTCTGGCCTGTGTGAGTTGCAGACTGTCCTGCTCCAACCTGTCCGGGTGAATCACCTTGTTTGGGGAGCTGAGAACTCTTTATCATGGAGCCCTGACACCTGGTTAAGTCACTTGCAATCTGTTGCCAGATCCGCCAGCAGGAAAGCTCTTCAGGTGGTTCTGCTTCTATAACAGTCTTCATCTTACTTTGGATCTTTCCTCCTGTAAAGACAGAATGCAGAGATGTGGACAACTGAAGACTTTGTTCAGTGTTCTCAAGGTTTCACATTTAGAAGACATCATGAGACTTTAATGAATCCAGGGAATATTCTGTTGGTCTTTTCCACTGTGTATCTTATTCTCTGGTTTACATGTGAATGGAATCCAAGAAGGGGTCCAGTGGGCTCCTATCCGCTATGCAAGTATACACCAAGTCTCCTTTTTTTTTTTAAAGATTTTATTTATTTATTAGAGAGAGAGAGAACAAACGGGGAGGAAGGGCAGAGGCAGAGGGAGAAGCAGGCTCCCTGCTAAGCAGGGAGCCCGATGCAGGGCTCAATCCCAGGACCCTGGGATCATGACCTGAACTGAAGGCAACCATTTAACTGACTGAGCCACCCACGCACCCCCCACACCAAGTCTCCTAAAAGAGGCACAAGTTAAATGCCAAAGACTTCATTCAAAAATTGATAATATAATTCAAATGTTAACCTATGGCCATTTCCACTGAATTTGAAAGTCAGTGTAGAATCTTGAATAGCAAATTATGTAGTTAATAAATTATGGAGACAGAAATGTTATATAATAAAATATGAATCAACTAGAACTTCAGGAAAAGCAGTAACATAATCAAATTTTGGGTTCATGTTATATATCCTAATATCAAATACCCTGAAATATTTATATTTATATTTATATATTCAAAGTATTCCTGGAAATTCTGCACAACATGTTTACCTAATCTTATCTTTCTGTTTTGACAGACATTAAATGAGTTGGCTACTATTACAAATTTTTGACCACTTCTAATAATTTAAGTTCAGAAATGTGTTTTCTAAATTATCTCAATGGCATTCCCAAGTCTCTATATTTATACAAAGGTTATCTGAACATTTGGAGATTATTTTTTCAATAAACTTTTCAATTAGCTTAAGAAGTACTTTTCTTAAAACTCAACAATAAGAAAAAAAAAAACCTGGTTTAAAAATGAACCAAAGACCTTAATATACACCTTACTGAAGAAAATATACAAAGGGGCCAATAAGCATATGAAAAGATGCTCCACATCTTCTGTAATCAGGGAAATGCAAATCCAAACACCGAGATACCCTACACACATACTAGAACGGCCAAAATCCAGAACACCAACACCATCAAATGCTGCCAAGATGTGGAGCAACCAGAACTGTCATTCATTGCTGGTGGGAATGCAAAATGGTACAGCCATTTTGAAGAGTTTGGTAGTTTCTTTCTTTCTTTCTTTAAGATTTATTTGAGAGAGAGAGAAAGAGAGAGTGAACACAGCAGGGGGAGGGACAGAGGGAGAAGCAGACTCGGTGCTGAGCAGGGAGCCCAACGCAGGGCTCGATCCCAGGACTCCAAGATCACAACCTGAGCCAAAGGCAGACACTTAACCAACTGAGCCACCCAAGTGCCCCGAGTTTGGTGGTTTCTTAGAAAACTAAACATACTCTTACCATACCTTCCTGCTATTGCACAATTTGGTATTAACCAAAAGGAGTTGAAAAAAAAATTTTTTTTTTAATTTATCCATTCATGAGAGACAGAGAGAGAGAGATGCAGAGGCAGAGGGAGAAGCAGGCTCCCCGTGGAGCAGGGAGCCCGATGCGGAAATCGATCCCAGGACTCTGGGATCATGACCTGAGCCGAAGGCAGAGACGCTTAACCAACTGAGCCACCCAGGCATCCCAGCAGTTGAAATTTTAAGCCCACACAAAAAACTATACACAGATTTTTATAGCAGGTGTATTCATAAGGACAAAACTTGGAAGGAACCAAGGTGTCCTCCAGGAGGTGAACAGATTAAGTATTAACTGTGGTACATCCACACAATGGGATATTATTTGGTGCTAAAAAGAAATGAGCTATTAAGGCATGAAAAGATGTGGAGAAAATGTAATGCATATTCCTAAGCGAAAGAAGCCAAACTGAAAAGTACAATTCCAACTTTACAACATTCTTGAAAAGGCAAAAGTATGGACAGAGTAAAAAGATCAGTGGTTGCCAAGGGTTAGAGGGGAGGGATGAAGAGGTGGAGAATAGGATTTTTAGGGCAGTGTAACTACTCTATATGATATAATAATAGTGTGTACATGGCTTTATCCATTTGTCCAAGTCCATAAAACGTACAACACCAAGAATGAACCCTAATGTAGAGTAAAGACTCGGTGATAACGTGTCAATACAGGTTCATCAATTTTATCTGGCAGGGGATACTGATGTAAGATGCTGTGGGTACATGGGGACAGGTTTATATGGGAGATCTCTGTCTCTTTTTTTTTTTTTTAAAGATTTTATTTATTTATTTGACAGAGAGAGGTAGAGGCACAGCGAGAGAGGGAACACAAGCAGGGGGAGTAGGAAAGAGAGAAGCAGGCTTCCCACCGAGCAGGGAGCCCGATGCGGGGCTCGATCCCAGGACCCTGGGATCATGACCGGAGCTGAAGGCAGTCGCTTAACCAACTGAGCCACCCAGGCGCCCCTCTCTGTCTCTTTTTTGCTATGAACCTAAAACTGCTCTAAAAAAATAGTCTTTGAAAGCACTACTGAAAAAAATGTTTACAAAAGAGAAATTTGGGCCACCTGGGTGGCTCAGTCAGTTAAGCATCTGCTCAGCAGGAAGCCTGCTTCTCCCTCTCCCTGCTGCTCCCCTTGCTTGTGCACTCTTGAGCTCTCTCCCCCTCTTTCAAATAAATAAAATCTTTAAAAAAGAGAAAAATTCACTCCCCTACCTGTATGAATAGTCAATTAAAAGCTGCCCCCTCTTTCAATCCAGTAGACATGTGGTAAACAGCCTCTATATAACTATATAAGCCTTGGGTCACTTTATTGGCAAGTTACTTCAGTGTCGAGGTATCTTGAATGTCTAGAATGACTTGCAGGTTTGGGAGCAAATACCCAAAGCACATGAACTAAAATAAGCGTAAAGCAGAGAGTGGAACTTAAGTTTCTACAGGCAAGTTTCCTTCATGAGGACAAAAGGGAAATAAAGTTGAACAGAAAATATACATGGCTCTAAAACCTGACAGAAATTCAGATCTCTAGGAAAAATGTGAAAACAACAGAAATGGAGCCTGGGAGAAGGAAAAGGTAAGGTTACGGTATGAACTCTGAAAGCCAATCCTAGAGTGGGAGTTCAATCCTGCCAGGAACTCTTCCCAGACAGATGCATGGATGGTTCCTAATGATTTTTAGGTCTCTGCTCAAAGTGAGCCCAGCAACAAGCCCCTTTACCGCCCAGTGTAAAATAATCAATCCTGCCCTCACCCAGTTCACCTCCGGTGACTCCCATCCCTCCTTTTTTATGTTCCATGCAGCACCTTGCACTATGTAACACGCTAAGTCATCTGTTGTTCACCATGTCTTTCCCACCATGATGCAGCATCAAGGAGGGAAACATGTTACACCTTGTAGGCTGAACACATTTTACACTTTCCTACTTTATAACCAATGTCCAGAATCATGTCTGGAACATGGTGCATAGTCAACAAATACATGCTGAATGAATAAATGAATCCCAGTTTGACTATTTTGGTGAGAGTTCAAGCCAAGTCCTAGAAGGAAAACATCTTTTCCAAGTAAGTTATTTGAAACAGAAAAGGGATAGAACACTGTAGTTTTGCTGGGAAGCTGAAAAGCTGTATAGGGGACATCAAGAACCAGAGGTACATGACGCAGGATGCTAATAAGAAAATCAAAGGTGGGGGCGCCTGGGTGGCTCAGTCAGTTTGGCATCTGCTTTCGGCTCAGGTCATGATCTCAGGGTGCTGGGATTGGCCCCACGTCAGGCTCTCCGCTCAGCGGGAGTCAGCTTCTCCCTCTCTGTGCTCTCTCTCAAGTAAAAAAAATAAAAGAGAAAATCAAAGGTGGCAAGAATCCCTGGGATGAAAAGAAAGGAGGGACTATCACTGGTTCCTTCTGAAGCTTTAGGACTGTCTATCTGATAAAAGAGTGTAGAAAAACAGTGCATATACAAATGTGTGGATAAAATAGCCCATCACAACAATTTTTCAAATTAAAAAGCTCTAATACTCCAGTGAGCTGGAAATATTTAAAAGCGTGTAATAAGCTTTCAGAAAAAAGAACCACGGGGCGCCTGGGTGGCTCAGTCCTTAAGCGTCTGCCTTTGGCTCGGGTCATGATCCCAGGGTCCTGGGATCGAGCCCCGCATCAGGCTCCCTGCTCCGCGGGAAGCCTGCTTCTCCCT